GTCGCTCTATAACAAACGCTGTAACAACGAACTTCAACAATACTTTCTGACTGCAGTTCAATTACTCACTACCTACACACATTGTCCGGTCACGTTGTCACCATCTTATATATACCAGACTACACCCAATCTAGTAAATGCTAGGGCATTCACGAAGGTTCGAGAGAAGGAGTGGCGTGACACTAGTCACATGACCTCGCTGACGCAACAATATAAACGTATTTATATCTATATTCATTACTAAATGCATCTAAATTACGAGCTTGCGCAATTAAGTTTATAGACTTTAAAAAATAAACTTCATATAAGCACAAAATTCATCTTGCAGATTGGCGAGTGAATTAATAATAAGTAAAAAATATACCATATAAAAGATCAACCAAAAATATGATAAATCTTAATTATTACACAGCTAACTGAGAGTCTCTCTAAAATAAATTGATTTAAAACGAAATTGTTAAATTATTGCTTAAAGTGACGTATTACCAATATTCTCTCCTCCCATAAAGTGTTGTATTCCTAAATCTTAATTTTCGTATTTAGTATATGTTGGGTTTTATACGATAATTAGATTTATTGACTGAATATACTGATAAATAGTTTACACCCTGCATTGGTAGATAGTATAGTAATTCAAATGACAGTTTACAGGACTACTTCTTGCAAAAACTGTGTATTAATATAAGCTAGTAATATAATCTACAATTTTTAAAACATTATTATTCTTATTTTTAATATAAGCCAGTAATATAACCTAAAATATTAAGAACATTTTTATTCTTATAAGTTTGTCATTTCTTTATTATTCTGATAGACTGTTTAAAAGTAGAAATAATTGCTGGATGTGCAGTAGGCGTTTACTTGATCTTGGCACTTTCAATTATCGTCTGGTTGTGCAAAAAGGTTGTCCAGTCTCAGAGTCGCTCACAGATGATCCAGAGAATTCCCACTATACCAAGTAAAAGCAGCCATAAACCTCACGCTTCTTCTGAAGGTAAGGATATCAAATGCTTTTACCACTTTATTTTGGTTATTTTAAATCACTTTTAAATTATTTTTCCTCCATAGAATTGCGTTATTATAAAATCATATAGCATGAGCAGTTATTCTAAATTATGTAACTAATCTTAGTATTTTTATGTTTTCAGTCACATGCTTTAGAATGTTTTTTTTTTACTATTACTGATGCTAATTTATTTTCGTTCATTTTAAAAATGTGTCTGTTGACAACAATTACAATATACATTAAAAAACGACGTACATAATAATTCTAAATATTTTCCAGAAATACAAAAAAAACTATATATTGTTGCGTATCTGCTTGTTTTTTAACTTCCCGTAAAAATTACTTCCGAGAAAATTCAGCGATACAAGTCCTTTCTTAATTAAAACTAGTTTATTTTTTCTGGATACAACTTTGCAATACACAGAATTTCCACAGAAATACTTTTGCAATCTCGATAACAAAACACTTTATATTACCATCACTACCGCTCGCCTGACTCAATTATCTTTATCTATATCTATCTATTTATCTGAATTTATTTCTCTGCTTTATTTGCCGGGCTTATATACTAAAAAAAAAAAAGAGGGCGTCTGGGACAGACTAGAGTTGCCTGGAAAAGTCATGATCCTTCTTGAAACTCCAGCGTTGCGTGACTTCCGCTGTCGTAACAATATTATAATTAGAGACTAACTTTATGCTATTTTTATTCATGATTTTTTCTTTTTTTTTAGAATTGTTTACACGCATATACGAATTTTAACAAGGCCTCTAATTAAGTAAAATCAAAATGATTAGAACAGTCTAAATGTGTAGGATAATTTACCTTTTTTTCTTTTGAACAATTCATATAATTTTCTCCCATTCAAAGTAATTTATTATTAATATTAAGCCTACTATTTGAGAAAGCCTACGGAGAATTACGGCTCTTGTCCCACTATTCTTTATCACATGCCATATTTATTGTTTAGCTTTTTATGGTTGTATTACAGGTTATTTATCTTAAATTTACCATTTAGAACTAATGACATAGATAAGTGGATTGTTTACTGAGGCTCGTATGAGCCTACCTTTTATAAAACTTAGTGTTAATCGTTGGTTTCTATTTACCATCAAGGAAAACCATCCAATTTTTCTTCTGGTGAAGGTAAAGCTTCTCACGAAGACAGTGGTCACGTGGTATCTATTGGCGCAGAACCTCTGAGTCCTCTCGGCGAGTCACGAGAAGACCTCGTAGAAGCCGGGGAATTCCCGCCAAATTATTTCGTCTTTGAGTTTCCGCTGCAGCTACAAAAGGATCCCTGCAAATTGCCGGTGACCAACATCTGACATATGATTTTTGTTTGCTACTTGTAGTTCTTTTTTTTTTATATCTAAACGGCCTTCAACCATAAAATTCAAACGTCTTAATATCAATACATTGCGTAATTAAACCGAAGTCTATAGAAGAACGCCGCAAAATAGTACATAATAATGTGATCTTTTTGTTTTACTTCATATGACTACAAATAATATATTTTTTCGCGTTGCTCTTAAGACATAGTGACTTAACTGAAACATAAGTGTTTGTTTTTCCTCAAACTGGAAATTTTAACAAATGTGTATATGCAACAAAAATAGAGTATTTTTATATAAAATTTTGATTTATTATGTGATTTTGCTAGCATGTTATTAACGACAACAACAGTGAAAAATCAGATGCGCATGTTGTCAGAGTGTATTTAAGTTGTAAATACTGCAGTGTTCTTTATCTTGTAAATAAAGAAAACTATTTATTAATGTAACATAAGATAATTATGTGTCATTAGATATATCTATATACATATGAATAAAGAATCAGAAATATCAATGATGTACGTCCTTTTCAATCGTTCAACTCCTTGTAACTCCACTGATACATACCCTGCTTTAAATGTATAAAACTTTCCTGAATATGGGTCTCGGCAAAGATGGCTTATCTGATAACTTAACTCTGACTTGTATATCATTCAGCTATTTTGATCTCATTCATATTATCAGACAAAATACTTATGCGAATTCATCTCAAATTACAGAACAAACACGAAAGAAAAGTTGTTGATTATTTCTTAGTGCAAAACTACCCAATGGGCTATCTGTATTGTGTCCGTCGTGGGGAATCGAACCGCGGATTTTAGCATCGTAAGTCTGTAAACTTACTGCTGACCCATCGTGGGACACGAAGTGAAATATAATGAGAATTTGTAAAATCATGGCGATGATGTAATGTCAATTATCCACCTCAGTTTGTTGTTATACAAGTCAGACATCTGTTGATCAAGTGTGTGACCTTTAACTGTAAATGACTGATCATTCAGCCTGTGCTACCATATACAGGATGAAGCAAAAGTCAGTATACAGTTATACATAGTTAAATAATTTTACTCTTGTAGAAAGGATTCGGTTTTATCTTTGTCTTGTTTGTTGTGATGGTGACTTTTGCCTGTACATGTAGTAGTCTCAATTGTCACTTGAAATGAATAACAGAGTTTAAAGTGCTCTACATTTTTAAAAACTGTGGTTCAAATGAATAACAGAGTTTAAATTGCTCTACATTTTTAAAAACTGTGGTTCAAATGAATAACGGTTTAAAGTGCTCTACATTTTTAAAAACTGTGGTTCAAATGAATAACAGAGTTTAAAGTACTCTACATTTAAAAAATGGTTGAAATGAATAACAGAGTTTAAAGTGCTCTACATTTTTAAAAACTGTGGTTCAAATGAATAACGGTTTAAAGTGCTCTACATTTTTATCAGCTATGGTTATCCTTCAAAAAAAAACATTTGGATACTTCGTTAATGTCGATACCAATCGAAGCTAGTCAATCACAATAGGCTTTAAATAAACGTCCAGACTTTTGAGTGTGGCCATCATCAGGAAACTATGTATTGTGTAAAATATTGCGCGAGTATTTTGTCCCAATATAGAATATATAGACGGCTTGGCATGGCCAGGTGGCTAAGACGCTAGACTCGCAATCTGAGGGTCGTGGGCTCGAATCCCCGTCACACCAAACAAGCTCGCCCTTAAAGCCGTGGGGGCATTATAATGTGACGGTCAATACCACTATTCCTTGGTAAAAGAGTAGCCCAAGAGTTGGCAGTGGGTGATGATGACTAGCTGCCTTCCCTCTAGTCTTACACTGCTAAATTAGGGACGGCTATCGCAGATAGCCCTCGTGTAGCTTGGCGCGAAATTCAAAACAAGAATACATATAGGGTGACCCCTGTGTTTTGATTTAAATTAGGTTTTAGTTCACGAATAATTAATGTTTCTTTTATTTTTATTCTGTTAATGTTGTAATCCTTGCATGATATGATCAAGTTGCTAACGTTAATCGGATGTTGATTCGTCGTGCTGTATCGTTAAATTTGTATGGGGTATTGTTTCGTCCTTTGATCCTAATGATCATGTTGCGTCCCGTTTCGCTTATATAAGTGATGTCGCATTGATACTTGTAGATGTTTCCGTCATTTCTAAAGTTGTCAGAATAAATCTTTCTTAGATAACCTTTGATTTTAGTGCTGAGTTTTTGAATAAAAGTAACTTTGTTGTTTATACTGTATTATATATACATGCTTCTAATTATTTACGATGTGTTGGTTACATGGCCATGATACGGATATGGTAAAACATCTATTAGAGTGTCTGAGGTTGTTAGAAGTCCCAAGCATGGGCAGCCAGCCTTCTGTCTCCTGGGTTATGTGAAGTGTTTATCAACAATATAGAAAGTCATTATCACAGCTCTACACACTGGTTTAGATACGCCGACGATGTATTTTTGTGGAATTGAAGACAACAGCCATCAACTGTCATTTCTATAACACGTAAACAACGTTCACTCAAACATCAAATTCACTCATGGAGAAAAGAAGAGAAAAACAAGTTTTAAATTACATGAATATAACAATAGAAAGAAACTCCAACGGTTTTGGAATGAAAATTTTCCACAGATCTAGTGATGGTAACAAATATATAAAGTGGGACTCAGCCCACTCAACTTAACAAACAATTGGCACGTTATCATGTATTTAAAACACAGCATTTAACATATGTAGTAGCAGCAATGTACAACATGAACTAGAATCAATATCTGATACATTTATTAACGAATGTCACTTTCCTAAACATATTATCACTAGAACCTTAGCCAAGTATAAAAACAAACTAAATAACAGAAGAAAAAGAAAGAATGGAAAACAACATAAACTCCATGAAGGAAACAAAATACAAAAACTCAGGAACACAAATAAGTGTCTTACCATATCATGGTTAAGCAACCAAAACATCATAAAAGTTTGGAAACATGTATTACAAAAATACAATATAAACAGTAAGGTTATTTTTATTCACAAACTCAGCACTAAGACCAAAGGTCATCTAAGAAAGCTTTATTCTGACAACTTGTATCGACGTGACAGCACTTATGTAGGCGAAAAGGAATGCAACATAAACATTAGGATCAAAGAACATAACAATCGATCAGACATTTATGAACACAGCACAACAAATATACATCCAATTAACGTTAGAAACTTTATAAAATATTATGCAGTGAGAACAACATTAATAGAAGAAAAATAAAAGAAGCATTAATTATTCCTGAACTAAAACCTAGTTTAAATAAAAAAACATAGGTGTCACCCTAAATGTTTTCTAAGTTGGAACTTTGTTTGTTTGTTTGAAGTTAAGCACAAAGCTACACAATGGGCTATCTGTGCTCTGCCCACCACGGGTATCGACAAGTTGGAACTAAATGCTCGCGCAGTATTTCACACGATAGCACAGTTACCTGATGTGGCCACACGAGGGGGTCGAAACGTTGTAATAAAGTTAAACAAAAAATAAAAATATATAATCCACTTAAAAGTCGTACCTCTAAACTTATATTTAAAGTGTATAGTGAATTTCCTCTCCTCAAAACCGGCTGTTGTGAATAGCTACAAGTGTTTAAAAGTGTTGTTAGTACTTCCAAACCAAAGGTACAGTTACTCATGAACTTGGAAAAGGCAGACGACCACCCACAATACCAACAAACCACCGCTATCTATCGACTCTGACTTGCCACAATCATAGAGTTACTGCTTAAAGATGAAGTGTCCTTATAATTACTAAAGAATGTCGTCTCAATAGGGGTTCGCTGGTGAGTAGGGATCAAAGGATGGTGAGAGGTCACGTGAACTGTGTCTTTATAATTCCACAGAGTGCCGTTAAGGGTGTATAGTTCCAATATGTGCCACTAGGGGTGAATCCAACCTATATAACAGCCAGTGTGTGTCACGTCACGCTTCATTTCTCGAAATAGGCGGAATCATAAAAGCCAAAATACATTTATCCAGATAGAATAGTTCGATTATTTCTGCCCATTACGATTTTAGGGCAAGGGGAGCGTGAGAGGTGTGCCTTGAATCCTTATAAGTGCAGTGAGTGTTGGTATAATAAGCCTAAAGTAAAGACGTAGTGTGGGATCACCTAACCTATGTCAAGTGCATAAAATTTATCATGAAAGTAAAAATATCGATTCAGTTTTAAACTTAAATCGTTTCTGAATTAAGCAATTTTCTTTTATATCACCAACGTTTTCAACAACAACAAAAACAAACCTCTCTAATAAACGGAGAAATCAACATATATTCATCCAGTTTTGTTGTCTATACATTTCATTCTATACTTTCAGTAATAGACTAAAAACAATATAAGGTTATACTTTTGTTGCTAACAACAGGAAATGAAAGCCATTTTTTTGAAACTTGTGTTACCAAAATGCAACCCACAGTGGTATGTCTACGGACATACAACGATAGAAACCGTTTTCCAGCATTATTACATCGGATAACTAGTATTCTGTACGCATAAAACTATATGCTTTTGTCCTTTTAATAATTCCAGTCACAAATATAACACACTTGAAATATATTTTTCTATTATATTATATATAGAATTGACTATGTGAAATAAATAGAAACACCATTTTATGATTTGTCAGAAATGTGGTATCTAATCGTTTAACAGAAATTCTATATTGTTGTTGTTGTTTTTAATTAAAGGCTTTATTTTTCTGTAGAACATTTTGAGTTCAATTTGAAATACAGTTACCAAGCACTGGCCTTTACAAGCTTGTTTAGATATCTAGTCATTAAAACTTTTTGTGCTAAGACACAAATAACTCATGACACAATTTGACTGTTTTGACGTAAATAATTAACCTGCGCAAAAAAACACAAACTGCTTTAAGTAGATATCATTTTAGTAAGTAAAATCACAGGCTAAATATGACGGTATCACAAATATTGGAACATTTTTTGAGATCTTAAATTTTATTTGTGTAATAACATGATTGAACATCTTGATGTTCTCTAGATGTTATTGAAGTTCTACAGAAAGAACATGATGTTTTACAGATGAAGATCACGAGGATGGAAAATATGAAGATGGCTACTCATTTTTGTGAAGAAAATGATTTTGTTTAATCTTTTCGTTATAAAGAAAGATCCAGAACCTTTAAACTTACTATAGAGAATGTCTTGAATGTACGTTTTACTGTTTAGTGTTAATTTTACAATAATCACCATCATTTAATTTAATAGCTGTTCTTTTACGATTTTCTCATGGTTCAAATCAGCACTAAGCATTATATTTAAAATTCACAGCTACAGTATTATTAATTTGACCAAAGTTACAATATTTCTTTATTGAGAAAAGACTACTATATGCAGCTGACTATCATAGTTTTATTGATACAAAATTTGTGAACAGACAAAACAACGCCTTCGTTCATTGATGAATGTAGCACGTGAAATAGCTACACTGTTAAACGAATTTTTGAACTGAGAATCATATTTTAACACCAGGATAAATTTCCGCATTTTTATTATAGCAGTAGATATAGGCCCGGCATGGCCAGGTGGATAAGGCGCTCGACTCA